GACATTGATGGGCAGGTCGCCGCCCAAAATGGTGCATTGGACGGAGGCCGGCTCTCCGTAGTTCAGGGGCTCTTCCCCGAAATCAAAGGACGCTATTTTGGGGGCAACTTTGGGGTTTGGAAATGGAAACACTAATTAGTAGTTCTGCACAAGCTCTGCTCCAAGTTATATAATGGAAGTTAGAGAGAATGGATTAGATTAGTAGCAACGCATACTTTCAAGACTAGGAAACCGCAACCCTTAAGGACTAGTTCAGGTTATGATTCAAGCCAATACCGTTCACGGTCAGGTCAACGCTGTAGGTAGTCGTTCCGGCCTGGTTACTGGCTATGCAGGTGTACCGGCCCGTGTGCGCCGGACTGGCACTGGGAATGGACAGCATGCTCGTCTTCCCGCTGATGCGGTTCGTTCGCATCTGGGGCTGCATCTGATCAAAGCCCGATTCCCCGGAGCTCCGCTCGAAGCTCCAGTGCACCTTGATGGGGCGATCGCCCTTCTGGATTTGGCAGAACAAATCAATCGAGTCGCCCATGTTTATGACATCGTCGTAGGCGAAGGGCACGATTTGGGGAGGAACTGGGTGGAGGACAGGGATGGAAAGGTAAAATAACATCAATCAACAAAAGACTCAAACAAGACTTTTCCAAGGTGGATTGTTAACCATTCACTAGCAGCTCGGCGCTGTAGCTCACGTTGCCCGCACTGTTGCTGGCCACACAGCTGTAGTTCCCCGAATTGACCGCCTTCACCGACTCCACCGTCAAGAGGCTGATCCGCTCCCCGATCTTGCTGGCCATCACTCCCAGGTGTGGAAAGAGGGGCAGCCCGTTGTGGGTCCAGCGGATGCGGAGCGGAAGGTCGCCCCTGGCCACGTGGCAGGTCAACTGGACGCTGTCGCCCTCGTTGGCCTCGGCATCAAAGCTGAAGGGATGGACACTGGGCAGAACTGGGAGGGATTGAGGTTCAAAATCAGGCAACACAATAAAGAATAAACAATGACTACTAATGTGGTTCAAAAGTAGAGGCAGTGACCGTTGACTTTCAGCTCTGCACTGTAGCTGCTCTCGCCGGCCTGGTTCCGGGCCAGGCAGGTGTAGACCCCACGATGTTCGGCGGCTATATAGTCGATGTTCAGGGTGCTGGACTTGGTGGACATGCGACCGATGACGACGTCCAGGTCTCCGCTGTTAAGGGTATGATTGTTCAGAGCCCACGTGATGTTGATGGGGAGGTCGCCCTTGATCACCGTACACTGGATGCCCATGGTCTCGCCCGAGTTGGAGGCCTCGTCACCAAAGTCAAAGGGTCGTATTTGAGGCGGCACTTGGGTTTTGGGAGTTGGGGATTTTCGGGTTTAAAAACAAACGAAAAATATATAAAAGTCTTGATTAAATCTCGGATAATAACCGTTGACCATCAGCTCGGCACTCTGCTCGGCTATTCCCGCTGCATTGGTGGCGATGCACTTGAACAACCCCCGATGGTGGCCACTGATGGCATCGATGCTGAGGGAGCTCAGCTTGGGCGACATTTTGATGATTCTTATTCCGACGTGCTCATTGGTGATCGGTTGTCCGTTCAGGGTCCAGTGCAGCTGCAGCGGGGTATCGCCCTTGAAAACCATACATTGGACAGCCGTACTGTCTCCGTAGTTAGAGGGCTCTTCCCCGAACACGAAGGGCATGACTTGAGGGGGGACTATAGATGGGTAATACAGGTGAGTCACGGGAGAACTTGGAGAACCTTAAACCCTTTTTTTGGACTTGACAAAATTTCATTTAAGCTCCAACATCGAAAACCAAACCACAACAGTCAGTGAAGACAATACTTAGTGTTAACTACTTAAGCGTGCTCTTAGGATTAAGCCGTATTTGTACAGTTGGGACAAACCGTTGACTTGCAACTCAGCCACATTCTCACTGCTTCCAGCCGCGTTGCTGGCTATGCACTTGTAGACGCCTCTGTGGAAGGCATTCAGCGAATCGATGTTCAACAGACTCGTTCGCTTGTTCAGCCGCACCAGAGTGAAGCCATTCTCACCGTTGACAATCGGAGCCGAATTGAGGGACCACCGGATCTCGAGGGGCAAGTCCCCCTTGGGCACCACACAATTGGCACTGGCTATGTCGCCGACATCGGCGGCCGACTCCCCGAAACTGAAGGGCAGGACTTGGGGCGGCACTTGACGAGGATGGGGAGTGAATACCAAACAGTTATGAATCAAATAAAATCAAAAATGACAAAATTAAAAGCTAAAAGTATGATGTAAGATGATTAATGACCGTTCACGTGCAACTCGGCGCTGTAGTCTGTGCTGCCCGCCCTGTTGGTGGCAATGCAGCGGTACAATCCTCGGTGTCTGGCTTCCAGAGAGTCAATGTTCAAGGAGCTGGTGCGCGGATTCAGGCGAGACAGGGAAAAGCCATGCTCGCCCGTGATAATGGGTGCGGAGTTCAGGGTCCAACGGATCTCCAGGGGCAGGTCGCCCTTGGGCACCATGCAGAAGCTGCCAGCCACCTCACCCGTGTTGGCTGGCTCGCCTCCAAAGTCAAAGGGTTGGATTTGTGGGGGAACTTGATGGGAAATGAAAAGCATAAGAAACCATAAAGACATCTAAATGAAAATAAGAGATTCTACACTTAGACTCAGAAGATTGCAGACTCGAACCAACCATTCACGTCTAGAGTGGAAACATATTCCGCATAGCCGGCCGAATTATTGGCGATGCACTTATAGGTGCCCCGGTGGACAGCCTCTAGGGAGTCCACATTCAACGAACTCGTCCTCTTGTTCAGCCTTACTAGGGTGAAGCCTAGCTCCCCGTTTACGATGAGAGCAGAGTTCAGGGTCCAATAGATGTCGAGGGGCAGGTCCCCCTTGGGAACCACACAATTCACACTGGCCACCTCTCCGCGGTTCAGGGGCTCGTCGCCAAAGGAGAAGGGACTGATTTGGGGGGCAACTGTGATAGAGAATCCATTTAGCCTCGGGAAATACTAACTTGCTCCATTGCACCAAATAAACCGGGTGTGTTAGTAGCGGAAACTTACAGAAAAAGGGGGGGGATAGGTACGAGATGCTTCACCAACCATTCACTTGCAACTCCGCGGAGTATATGGCTTTTCCAGCCGAGTTCTGGGCCACACAGCTGTAGGAGCCGCGGTGCTTGGCCTCCAAGGCATCTACACTCAAGTAGCTGGTGCGACTGTTCATTTGAACCACCATGAAGCCATCCACTCCAGTCTTAACAGGTTCCCCGTTCAGGGTCCAGTGAATTTTCAAAGGTAAGTCTCCCTTCAGGACAACACAGTTGATGCTCAAGACATCACCCATGTTGAAGACTTCGCTGCCAAAGCTAAAGGGCAAGACATGTGGAGGCACTGCAGGATTAAATAAAAATAAAATAAAAAATAAAAACATAAACTAAAAACGTAGAGGGGTGCAGGGGACCGTCGTAACATCCGTGTACCGTTGACTTTCAGCTCCGATGTGGTGAAGCTAGATCCCGCCAAGTTCTCGGCAATGCACTTGAAAACCCCGCGATGGTGCTGCTCCACAGCGGCTATGTTCAAGACACTCGTCTTGGGGGACAGCTTCAGGATGGTGATACCCTCCTCGCCGTTAATGATCGGGCGGGAGTTGAGCGTCCACTTGATGGTGATGGGCACGTCGCCCTTCTGCACCATGCACTGCACTCCGGCATTCTCGCCCGTGTTCACGGGATCGTCCCCGAAGGAGAAGGGTGCTATCGACGGAGGAACTGCAAGGCAATGGAGTGGCGGGATGATAGAGGGAAAGGGTTTGAGAATCAAACAAAAGGCAACTCAAGATCCCAAATGAAGAAGGTAATCTATAGAGGTTAACCATTGACTGCCAGGATGGCAGACTGCCGGGTCTCGCCAGCGTTGTTGGTGGCCACGCAGGAGTAGTTGCCAGCATGACGCGCCCGGACGGACTCGATGCTCAAGACACTAATACGTTGGGTATTCCTGGTCACAATCAGACCATCGTTCGTGTAGACGCGGCCACCGTTCTTGGTCCAGGCTATGTCCACCGGCAGGTCTCCCCGGTTGACGGTGCAGTAGGCGGAGACCATGTCCATCTCGTTGATGACATCTTCGCCAAAGTCGAATGGCATGATTTGGGGCAAGACTAGGGGAGGCAGGAGGTGGGAAGGCCAAAAAAAAGGCAAAAACTTAATGAAATGATAGCGTAGAGGTGGAGCAATAACCATTGACCGCCAGCATGGCGGATTGGGTGATGGCCCCCGCATTGTTGGTGGCCACGCAGGAGTAGTTCCCCGCGTGACGAGCCCGCACGGATTCGATGCTGAGGACACTGAGGCGCTGGCTGTTCCTGGTCACAATCAGGCCATCGTTGGTGTAGACGCGACCTCCGTTCTTCGTCCAGTAGATGTCCACGGGCAGGTCGCCCTTGTTCACCGTGCAGGAGGCGGAAACCATGTCCAGTTCGTTAATGCTCTCCTCGCCAAAGTCAAAGGGCACGACCTGGGGCAAGACTGGGAGGGGGAAGGTTTAAAGAAACTAAAAGCCAAACAAAAGGAAAAGCTCTAGGCCAGCTATGAAGCAGAAACTGGAGGCTATTAACCGTTGACGGCCAGGATGGCCCAGTGCCGGGTTTCGCCGGCATTGTTGGTGGCCACACAGGAGTAGTTGCCGGCATGGCGCGCCCTCACGGACTCAATGCTGAGCACGCTCATGCGGGTGCTGGTCTTGGTCACCACGATGCCATCGTTGGTGTAGACACGGCCGCCATTCTTCGTCCAGGCCACGTCGATGGGCAGGTCACCCTTGTTGACCGTGCAAGAGGCCGAGACCATGTCCAATTCGTTGACGCTCTCCTCGCCGAAATCGAAGGGCACGATCTGGGGCAGCACTGTGACGGAAGGCAGGGAAGCGAGGAGATGGCGGTGTGAGGATAACGAAATACAAAAACCAAAGGTGTACACTAGCTACAGCTGGAGAAGATTGTCGGCAAACCGTTGACCCGCAGCTCCGCCGTGTGATAGATGACCCCGGCCGCGTTCCTGGCCACGCATGTATAGTTGGCCCGGTGCCGGGCATGCACGGACTCAATGCTCAGCATGCTGATGCGCTGGGTCGTCTTGGTGATCAGTATGCCGTCGTTGGACATGAGACGACCCACTCCCGTGGTCGGGTCCGGCGCTGTGGTCCAGTACAGCTCGAGCGGAGTGTCGCCCTTGTTTACCGTGCAAGTGGCCGAGACCATGTCGTTCATGTTGATGGTCTCCTCCCCGAAATCGAAGGGCACTATCTGTGGCGGGACTGGACGAAGGAATTGTGATTTTCGATTCTGAGCGACTGAGAAGCTAACGACCAACGATGAGGCTGAAAACTTATAGCCCGCCCACAAGGTGTAACAACAACCAGACCGCCTCTTTGAAGAGGAGTCTGGGCCAGAAATGGAGTCCTCAACTTACCCATGACTTGTACTTCCAGGGAGCCGCGAGCAGAGTATCCTTCCTGGTTCTTGGCCACGCAGGTGTAGGTCGCCTGGTCGGAGTTGCGTTCGACGTTCTCGATGATAAGTGTTCCGTTGGGGAAGACCTTCTGTTTGCGGTTGATGGGCAGGGCACGGTTATCTGGTAAAAATATTATCCATTAGTCAAATTCATATAGAACCTTAAGAATTCCTTACCTCTCTCCCAGACAATAGAATCAATGGGGTAGCCAGCAACTGGACAGGTGACGATCAGAGTCTCGCCAGCCACGATGGCCTTCTTCTCCATTTGACGGATGTAGGGCAGGCCGTAGACATTCAGCTTGGCAGAGTGATCAGCCACGCCCACCTTGCTCTTAGCTATGCACTTGTAGAGACCTCCATCGTTGGCATGGACCGAGGTGATGTTCAGATAGGAAACCACATCTCCGTTGACCGTGACATACTGTCCAACCTGATACCGATCGTTGTTGGCAATCTTCTTTCCGTCGAGTTCCCAGGAAATCTCGGGGGTTGGGTTGCCGCCAGCCACACACTTCAGGAATACACTTGGGCCGGGCTCCATGGTCTCCTCCTGGAAGGCCTGGCGGATGACGGGCGGGTCGAAGCGTCCTCCCAGCTTCAGTTCAGCACTGGCCTCGGCAGATTCCTGGTCGTTTCGCACGAAGCACTGGTACATGCCCTTGTCCTCCTTCTTCACGGATTCGATGCGCAGCACTGGCTCGCTGTGTCCGATCGCCTTACCGTCCTTCATCCAGCTGACAGTCTTGATGGGGTTGCCGGTGTACTGGCAGGTGAATACGGCGGGACGTCCAAAGTCAACGGTCTGGGTGGGGGGATCGATCTTGGCCGAAAGGGGGGCGGTCACGGTGAGAACTGTCTCGACACTCTCGCCACCCACGGAATTGTTGACCACACACAAGTACTTGCCGGAGTCGTCGACCACTGCGTCCTTGATAATCAGAGTTCCGGAAACCTGTTTCACTCGGTCATTCAAGACAACGGCCTGCTTGCGGGTAGTTCCCTCAATAAATTTGTACCATCTGGAACGAGAACGAGGTGTTAGTGGGGAATTCTTCAGTTCAGGGTTGGCAGCAGGGAGGGTGGGCACAGAATGAGCAAGTCCTTCTAATGTTTTGAGTCTAGGATACTTACCTTTCCTTCGAAGTGGATGGAGGATGGACTATACTTACCTCTATGATTGAGTTAAAATTTTCAACTCTACTTGCTTATTCTGTGCTCCATCTTTGGGGGATTGGGGATGATCCTACCGACACCCTAACAAGAAAAGCCCTAGAGTTCTACCTATAAACGGGTACTGGGTATCCCTGTCCTGGGCAATGACCCACAAATGTGCCACTCAAAGGCACCTCATTGATTTCAATGCTCTTGGTGGAAATGCGAGGCTTAACTAATCCAACGGGTTCTGTAAATCAAAGAAAGTGAGAGCCTATTCTTTAAAAAAAGAACTGCCTGAAGGTTTGATATGAATACTATAATTTCCAATACCTAAAAACAGGATGGGGGTACGATTGTCCCTGGCAGAGAATCGAGAAACCACGCCCCGACTTCTGGGTCTGTTCCTGCAAGCGATCACCCGAAATTGTGGGCGAAACACTTCCAATTGGTTCTGAAAGAACATTAATCACTAGTTGAAGCTTCTAACATATATAATATTATGCCTGAATGTTAATTGAGATAGGGAGCCCATGAATTACCTAAAAGCGGGAGTCGGAAATGACTGTCCGAGGCATAATATAGCCAAGTCTGTGGTGGCTGTTTGGGTAATTTCCTGCAAGCGTCCTCCCGATATTTTGGGAGCCACACTACCGACAGGCTCTGGAAATCATTATGAAAGTAGTATAGGTACTAATACAAAACGAAACTTATATGAAAACTGCCCAAATGTTAGACTAACCTTATAATGGGTACGGGAAATGCCTGGGCCTGACATAGCAAGGCGAAACTAGTGGAGATCTCTTTGACAAAAGTAAAGCTCTTGGACTCGCCAGAGAAGGTTGGGGCCTTGGCACCAACGGGCTCTACAAAGAAACCAACAAAATGCTTATATAGGGAACTGGGATGGTTTAGGAACTTAGTTCTATTTAAGGACTACCTTATAAGTGGAACAGGATAAGCCTGAGCCTGGCAGAGAAGAGCAAAGCTCTGACCGTAATGGCGGACGAATGTATAGCTTTTCATATCCGAAGCAAAAGTCGGACCTTTGGCACTAACAGGTTCTGGGAATAAAATAATGATCAGATAAACTAAACTGCCTGTATTTTGGGTTAACTATCGTATAAAGGGTACTTGACATGTTCGAAACTAAGTATCTACCTCATTACTGGAACAGGATAAGCTTGAGCCTGGCAAAGTAAAGCAAAACTTTGGCCCACCGAACGGGTATACGAAAATATATCCGAATCGGTGGAGAATGTGGGAGCCCTAGCACCAATTGGTTCTGTAAATAATAGTAACTATGTATAACTTTCAAATACCCTAAATAAACTGCCTGAATAGGGGATTGTTTCTGACCTTATTAGGGGAACTGGGTAAGCCTGAGCTTGGCAGAGCAAAGCAAAGCCCTGACCCACAGAGCGGATGTATGAGAATGAGTTGGAATCAGTTGAAAAGGTGGGAGCCCTGGCGCCAATAGGTTCTGAAATATTAAGAAATAACTACAATACCCCCAAAAAATAATAGAAAACTGCCTGAGTTGAAAACTAACCTCATGAGAGGAACTGGAAAAGCCTGAGCCTGACAGAGTAAAGCAAAGCTCTGACCCACGGCACGGGCATAGGAAAATGAGTTGTAGTCTGAGGAGAAGGTAGGAGCTCTGGCTCCAATGGGCTCTGCAAAGTATTAGTAATAGTTTTGGTTTAATTTCTATGACCTAGAAACTTGCCTAATGATGGGAACAGGAAAGGCCTGAGCCTGGCAGAGCAAAGCAAAACTGGCATTGACAGAGCGCTCAAAAATGCTGCCTTTAGAGTCGCTAGAAAACGTTGGAGCCTTGGCACCAACAGGTTCTAAAACAAAGATGGGTTTATTATAGTTGGTTGTATAAGAGGATTCACAGAACCAGTAAGACAGTGTTGGACCCCAGGGGAACTTGAATTACCTAAATATTGGGACTGGATAGGACTGAGCCTGGCAGGTTAGAGCTATTTCACTATTTTGGGGAATGTGAAGGGTAAAAGTAGAGGCCACACTAGGAAAGCTAGGAGCCTTAAATCCAACGGGTTCTAAAAAGTTGAAGGATTACGTTTTATTTATTTGAAAAACCTTGAAAACTTTTTACTGAATGTTGGGATTGTTTATTCTAGAAATCTATTTAAAAATTACCTAAAAACTGGCACTGGAAATGCCTGGGCTTGACACAACATGGCAAAAGTGCAGGATAGAGGAACATTTTGCTGAAAGACCATCACTCCCGTGGGCACACTAGGAGCCTTAGACCCAATGGGTTCTGGGGATTTGGATATACATTATATATATTACTATACTACCTAGTTGTAATGCTCTGAATGTTGAGTTGGGCAAACCTCTTACCTAATAATGGGAACTGGGAAAGCTTGGGCTTGGCACAGCAGAGCAAAGGCCGTGCCCTTTGACTTCTGCACCTCAATTAGCTTGTACTCGAGAGAAAAGGTCGGGGCCTTGGCGCCAACGGGCTCTGCAAATCACCCAAGTCATAAATTATTTCAAAAGAAAGCAATAAACTGCCTGAATGTTTCCCCAAGTGCTTTCACTTAACTTTCACTGAGACATTGAACGTGACCTTTGCGAACCTTGACTGACATAAGAAAAGTAGAAACTTTCGCACTAAAAGAGAGGAAATAAAATGGGGGGCAAGGTGCATACGTGAACTAGAGTTCATTGGGTCAATGTGAAGGCCAAAGACTTGCGCAAGCGCCCTGCTCTTTGCAGCAACAGCTATCGTGGCTGATGTGCAACAAGTGGAGGTGGGAAGCCACCCCACCCCCATCCGGTGGGATTTGACCTCGGAAAAGTGGCAACAAACACCGGCTGTTGACCCAGAAACGTGCGTTCATTCATAAACAGCTGACGGATGCCATCCACACGCTCCCTGGAGGGGAAGTTGTTTTGGGAAATTTTCTCTCGATCGCAATCATGCGCAGTGGTAACTAGGGAGAGCGAGAGAGTTTTTCCCTCTCAGAGAGAGAGCGAGAGAGTCCACCAGCTGAGCGCCGGTTTTGTTTACAAACTTTGGCACACACACAAATGCACAAAAGAAAGGGTAAAGAGGCAGACCGGTGGGTGTCTGTTTACCGATTCTCTTTTGATTTGTTTACGTAGCTTACTTTTATAGGTGCCTTTGTATTTTGTTTGTGTTTTGCTTTGCGCGCGCATTTTTATGAATGAACCGCCCGCCCCCAACCGCCCCTACCCAGTCCAAGACTCGAGCTACGGGGCAAAAGTTCACACTCCTCATGCATAATTAAAGTCACGTTTCTGGCCTAACCAGCTAATCGCCACCGGATATATGCAAGCAGACGGCACAAAGAAAAAATACCTATTTCCGTTCTGAAAAACACTTGGTGTCCAACGAAAGAAAAAGTAAAAGAAAGTGGATCTACAATCTTTTTCTATTTTATCACCAAAGTTCTCAAAATCGAACCTATAAACAGGGACGGGAAAAGCCTGGGCAGGACAGAAAATGGCCATATTGGTGGCCTGCATCCGCTCGATCCAAGAACGTTTGATGTCATTGGAGAGCAAGGTAGGAGCCTTGCCACCAACGGGCTCTAGAAGTTCCATATATGGAATAAATCATATTAGATTTCTGCCAAAATGTTTATTTCGGAAAACCGAAAGGTGGAAATCAGAGCTCAACAATGAGGATTAATATTCTTATAAAAACCAACCTAAAACTTGGAGCAGGATAACCCTGAGCAGGACTTAGTATAGCAGTGGTCATAGTAGAGTCCACAATATTAGGTTTATAAGTCAAGGCATTTATCTTGGGAGGGCTACTGCTGATGGGTTCTAAAAAAGGAGTATGAACTCTTAGAATTATTCAAAACTTTAAATGAAAACTGCCCGAATGAGTGGAAAAGAAATAGTTTTAAGTATTTACTAAACACACCTAAAACTAGGCGCGGGATATCCCTGGGCAGGACATAAGATAGACAGACTTGAATGTCCAGGAACGACCAAAGGTCTCGACTGCAAGGGTGGCACTTTTGGAGCAGTGCTAGAAACGGGTTCTACAAAAACAGAATAGCTCATTATAAGACTATGTAATCTTACAAAAAAACCAAATACTGCCTGAATATTGATTTAAAATTTTGGATTTTTACCTAAAAACTGGCACTGGGTAACCCTGAGCTGGACACAGTAAAGCCAATGTAGCATGACCTGCATAACTTTTCATATCGAACTTGGCCAGAGAAACAACTTTGGGAACCGTACTGCTAATGGGCTCTATATTTTAATAAAATAAAATTTTGATTTCAGTTAACTACAACTAGTATAATCCTTTGTAACAAGGATTATACTGCCTTCATGTTGGGCCTCACCTAAAAACTGGCACTGGATAACCCTGAGCCGGACACACTATGGCCACCGTCCCACCATGACGAACGTATTCAATATTGGTTTTCTGAATCAAAGCCACCCGAGGAGCAGACCCACTTATGGGCCCTAAAATAAAATAAATCACAAAATTTCCATCAAAACCTGACGGTCCTAAAAGTTATTGATAAATGCCTGAATGCCTCGAGGAAATCACCTGAAAAATGGAACCGGATAAGCCTGCGCGGGACACAACAATGTAACACTGCCACTGGATGCAATATCCACATTACGGGTTTTATCTCCTGAAGTCAGTCGAGGTCCCACACTTCCCACGGGCTCTATATAATAAAAGGAATGTATTGAATAACCTAACATGCAAAAATAAACCTTAAACTGGAAACTGCCTGAAAATATTCACATGGTTTACCTAAAAAATGGCACAGGATAAGCCTGTCCAGGACAGAAGAGAGTGGAACTGGAGCCCTTTCTAGCTTCAGCATTCTTAAGTCGATTTTCAACACTAATTTTGGGCGCCACACTACCAACGGGCTCTAAAAAATGTCAAAAAAATTAATTTCTAAACTAAATACTATTCTAATAACTGCCTGAATGATTGGTTTACCTAAAAGAAGGCACTGGATAGGACTGGGCTGGGCAAAATAGAGTCAACGTCGCATTTGAAGCTGCACCAGCATCTCTGAGACGCTCGCCTACACTGATTTTTGGTCCTACACTAGCCACAGGTTCTGGAAAATATCACATATTTGAAGCCTTTATTACTCATATCATTTGAAAACTGCCTCTTATAAGAACCTCACCTAAATGCTGGAACCGGGTACGACTGAGCTGGACAGAAAATGCTTATGTCGCCATTTTTGGGAACTTCCGCATCCTTGCGTCGCTCACCAACACTAATTTTGGGCGGTACACTACCCACAGGCTCTAAAATCAAATATCCAGAAATAAATCCTTTAGACCTAAGCCATCATTGAAAACTGCCCGAGATACTTGACAACAATAACTGCCACTTGATAGACTTCAGAAGGGGTGGGGGCTTTACTAAAACACATGACACTGAATGGGTTAAATAGGCCAACAAAGCTGGACACAAAGCCAATTATAATTGGAAGCCAATGAGGCCTGACAACTTAATCCCAGCTTGATTTTAATGGAAAAACTTTCGGTAAGCCCTCAATTGGCTTGCTTGGGTGTGTTACCTATAGAAGGGCACGGGGTAGGCCTGGGCAGGACAGAAAATGGCTATTGTTTGCCCCAGCCGGATACTGTCGTGGCTGAAGCCGTCTTTCTTGTTGACACGCGGCGCCACGCTGCCCACAGGCTCTGAAACATTGGAACACGATACAGAAGGAAACTAGGCAAATGCCTGGGAAGGACGTTCGAAAGGGTAAACTCGACAATGACAAACCTATAGAAGGGAACCGGAAATGACTGCGCAGGACAGCGAAGGGCCACCCTCCCTCCAATGGCTGTCCGGTCGTGA